TGTATGCTAGTGGAACTAATACCTAAGATTATCTCAATCTCACAGTATGTCACAAGATGATGATTTCTGACACAACTTATTTTGAAAGACACATAAATTAGGTTCCTACAAATCAGTTAGGTCTGATTTGGTACCGTTCGAATTTTACCTCTTTCAAAAGAGATATTTGGTTATAAAGATTCGGGTTCGGCCAGTCATGTCCATTAAAGAGTCACTTTTTCCACTACTCTACTGTCTTTAGAGCTATCGAGATTTAAAGTTGCAACGAAGTTTTTATATTGATTAAAGTAAAAAAAACTACAATTATTGATTATATAAAAAATTCATATAAAAAATTTCTACTTTAGAACCATATATGTCTATACCATATAAAACAACGCTTTATTGAATTATAGCGTAATAGAAAAAGATGTTCAGTAGTGGTGGGGAATATGACATCTTGCCCAAAAGGCTTGTTCCGACATGTGAAAAGTTATTCTGACTGACGATGCACAACATTCACGCTTTCAGGGCTAGTGCATACTTACAGCAAAACGATTTAATATGATCTAATGTATGTTAGAACCACTTTTCATTTTTTTACTACAAGTGAGTACCGGACATAAGAACGTTCAAATTACTGTGTTGGATTAAAACTATTTTGTCCAAAATCGGTATTATCCAGAAATGTTTTGTTTTTTTTTATCATAAAAAGTCCGCTTTACTTTCGAACGCATTTTAAATATAATATCGAGACATAAGAAAGGCAAAAGTACGTTACCTTTGGGAAGGGATCAAATTATTTTGTGACAAAATCTTTCAAAATATACAGCGGACTTTAACAAAAAGGACTATTGTATAGTCAAGTGTTTTTTCTTAGTCAATAATGAAATATTTTAATCATACAAAGTCTGGTATTGTTATTGTATATGTAAAATTTATTTTTCTACATACTTGTAAACATCTATTTACACATATATTATCTGTTATTCATTGAGTGTTTGTAGTGCCTGTATAATGTCGGCATCAACCGTTTCAACATTTACTTTACCTGCGTACTAATGGTGCCATCCAAAGCCACCTTCAAAAATTGTTCTAATGTAAAAGTAAAATAATCGAAGATATTGAAAAATAATATTTGTACAGGTCTTTCTAATAAACATGTCCAACGCATAAAGTATTCGATACGAATTAATCAACTGTTATCAAATATGTTATCAATTATATTATAAGATACTGACAGTTGATTAAATATTTGCAATAAATAGTTAAGTTAGAAAGAATGAAACTAACACAAAAGATTATAGACAAAAATATGAATTTTGCATTTTACATTTTGCAAAAGAAAAAATGAAGGTGTTAAGTTTCACTTTTATTTTTTAAAAATATATAATACATATTTTGTAAGTAATTTTAAGATAAACTGTTGAAGAAAAAATGTATACTAATTAACGTAAATAAAAATTGTATGTAAATACTCGTACAAAATACAATTTTCTGGCACAACTTTTGTACTCACAATCGCTGAAGAAATACTTAAAATTATTATATAAATTAAAGCCAGCCCGTCGCTATTCAATTATCAGAGTTATAATTATACTTATCAGCTTGTGAAGCTAAAATATTGTACTCACACGTTTAAAATTTATAGATACATACGAGTACTTGTACAGATGTATACACTCGAACCCGAACCCGAATACGTACATACAAGTGAATTATTTCATTGTTTTTCTCAGCGACAAGTGCCCCTGTAATGCATACAGCGTACACCACACAAAATATGAACTGAGATATCGAGATACCGAGATACACTACACATGTATCTACAAATTATGTACGAGTACATATGCTAGCACGAATATAAATGCATGTATTTTTGTATATATTCAGTTTATTGGGGTATTAACTTCAATAGTTACCAAGTTCACATATATTTATTTTTGATTTTAAAAGCAAATGCGACCATTTATATTATGAACAAGCCAAACATACTAATTTTATAAAATTCATAAAATAGAAACAACATTTTTCGGAAGATAACAACGTAAATTGATTGGAAGTAGAGAGTTATAAGTCCATGATTAATTTCATAGTTTTATTTGTAATAGTATATATTATAGGTAAAGATATGGCATAAAATTAAAAATATAAAATAAAAATAAGTGGGAAATAAGCACGTAGAGTTCCGCATTTGCTTCCGTTAGCATCAAAATCTATAAAACTAATCTTTTAAGAGGAATCTATGAAAAACGTCCAAAAGGGTTGAATCAACATATAAGATTTATATGTCTAAAATAGCAACAATTACACACCATGCAGAATATTAGTTGAAGGAAAAAACTTTACAATTATTAGGAATAAACTAATAAACAATAAGAAAAATCAAAGTTTAAAAAAAATACATTGGACAATACTATAAAAAATAATGTTAAAGGAAGTTACTAATACACTGAACACACATATTAAGATTTTTGTAAATAAAAACAATTAATTTTTTTTAATAATATCTTGCATTATAATCATAACTTAGTGCCAGAATTATATCCAAATTTGAATCAATCTTAATAAAATTAAAATTCAATCTTCTTACTATAACTTCAAACGTTACGTGTGGTTTTATATGACAGGTCACAGGTCAATCTGACATATATAAACAGTCAAGCTCAGAACGAAAAAAAAACGCTCAGAAAAACTATTTTGCTTTAAAATATAAGTAGATCGATATTTGGGTCTCTGATTATAAATTGAACGTTATCTAGTCGTTTCTACTAATAAAGTCCCTTTATTTCCCATTTCTAAGAAATGAGACATTTCTCATATAAAGAAGGATATATAAGCAAGATGTAATCACATAACGATTCTCTCCTTTATAAAGATCGAACACACTTTATATATACAATATATTCGCTTTAAACCATCAAATGATAGTATTAAAATTCGAAAGTAGTTAAATTAATTTGAAGAAACATAAAAGTTTAATTATTTTACGGTACAATAAAATGCATTCGAAGACAGTAACTAATAAGGCAAGTTAAAACATCATAGTGAAATAGTCATAATGCTAAATTATTTATTAAGTTGTTTTCCGAGTGTCAGCATCGACTACAATTCAGTTTTACTTGGCATTAGAGTAACATATGCTCTAACAAGAATAAACAAAGGTAAGAGGATAGCAATGGTATAGATCAGGGCTGTCCAGACCAAATGTGATCGCGGACCAACACAAATACCTTCATAGTTATTTTTGAAAATAAAAATTCGGTTATAATGTTGAGTTTAATTTTATTAATTTATTAATTTCATTTCATTTATTTGATATACCATAAAAATAAAATAATGTAATTTTACCAATACACCAAAAGAAAATTGGAGTAATTGTGATAGATTAAAAACGTGTCGCGACCACTAAAATATTAGCTGCGGCCCGCGGCCTGTGCTTTGGACAGCCCTGGTATAGAGCACTATCTCACAAGTATATATGTTTCAAAAAAATTTTTAATGAGTTTTCTAAGGACCTAAATCGAAAATAAAATATTTTACGTGATTTTTAAAACAAACTTTAACGGAGTCATCCATTTGGGCAAAATGCTTGATCTATAACTATTACCACCCACTAAACCTAGAAATAAATTAATAAAGATATGTAAAAGTAAAACTGCTGGACGATTTTCAGACAGAAGGAGAAATACAATCTGAACTTTAACGAAAACTTGACATTTTTTTAATAATTAAAACTTTTTCTCCAAATACTAAACATTCTAAGAATTTGACTATTACACTCAATAACTCAATAACACAATATCAATAATAATAAAACCTATTTTAGAGTCATTACTGAAGAAGCTTGGTCACTCCCAGCACATTTTCTTTGTTTATTTAAACAATCTGTTATTGTACTCAGTATGTTATGCTTTCTTTCTGCAACATTTCCAGTGCGCTAAACACTTTGGCTTCATACATTTATTGGTGGTCCTGGTCTGGTGTATGAACAACGTTAATCCCTGGTATTAGAACCGGCTATTATGTCTGCTCGAACGATATTATTATGTTACTATCTTTCATCTGACAACAGTAGGAGAACTTAACTTATAATTTAAGTAACAAATCTTTTCACCTTTTTGAAGTTGAAGTTTGAATTCATTCTAAAATACAATAAAAATGTAAACATTTCAAAATTCTCAAGATTTTTCTCAAACGAATTAAAAAAAGAATGACATGCATGAGAGAAATGTAAAAACATTTTAAAAAATTTTATTAAAGAAAAAAAAATAAATATCGAAAAAGTTTTCTTGATTCATGCTTAACATCAATAGAGAATAGAGTCTCTGCTACAATGTTTTAAACGTGATTTTCAGGTAATTACAATTTTTCACTATATAGTCATCTCATTGTTTGCAACCATAGACTATAAAATAATTATAATTACAATTTCATTTCACATTGCTTTTATTATTGAAGCTGGTAATATTTAATTTTTGCATTCAATTCATACAATTTTTTTGAAAAATAAATTTCTAACAATTATTGATTATTTGAATTATTGCGTGTTATTTGATGAAGTATACTAACTAATATATGTATA